CAGTGTCTCAAGCTCATTCACGTTTCATGACCAACTGGTAGTTGGCACTGAAAAACTTTTCAGGGCTGTGTGAATTGTGCGACTGATTGTCTTAGATGCACTACTTTATTTAAAAAAAAATGTTCATAAGGAGTCAATATGTAGTTTAAGAGACAATCAGTGTGTGTCTTATATAAATGGTACATCTGTGGTTTTTAATCTGTGCTAGACTTCAAAACTGTGATCTCCTGTTATTGTATGCAACCTTGAACTCCACCTCTGCAGGGGTTCTTCTGTGATTAAATAGGTTATAATTATAAGCAAAATTCAGAGCAACTAAGTACTGATCTAAAATGATTACCTTTGGCTGGAGGTGAGCTGCACTGAAACTGTACGACAAAATGTCTCTGGACAAGGAGAGTGAGAGAAGAGAAACAAAAGGACACAATTCATCTGTAATTTACTGTTGGTAAACCTAGCAGTAAAGAGACATTGGTCAATTGCTCTGACCCTGATGAATTTCTAAGCTGAGATCTTTGTCGTTTATGCTTGCAGATGTTAACTGGAAAAGTTATATATGCACAAACCTTTTCTTCCTGGATTTGGCAGATATGTATAATTATATTAAAATGGTTCTAGCACAACATTGGGTCCAGTTTAATTTTACACCACTATTTATAATTCAGCCTCTCCTTCCCAAAAGCCCCCCCCCCCTTAGGGCAGAAAGAAAATTAGCAAACTTTATTTATTTATTTATTTTTTGGTGGGGAGTAGTCTATGGATGAACTCAATATGAATAACCAGGGTATATGAACTTTTTGTGACTTTTATCAGGATTGCTATGAAATTGAATTTAGAGAGCCTAACAATCATTAGGGTGTTGTTTTCCTTGCTTTTCTCTCCTTGATGCAAATCTGAATGATTTCTTAGGCACTTTACTTCAAATAGATCAATTTTTTTTTAACAGGGAGTGGAAGAACTGGAGGGTCTCTGAGCAAATGAGAATGACAATAATTTTTATTTTCTCCGTTGGCTAAGGGGATTTTTTTTTTTTAATTTCCAAAAAGTCTGAGGTAAACAGGAGAGGGAGTGTAATCAGAATCTGAAAGCAATTCAGGCAGAAATGATTTCAGAACAAAAGAGTTTCAGAAAAGTTTTAAAACCTATCATTTCAGTAGCTGAACATAAGGCACCTTGGTCAGTTTTCTTTTGCCCCCTTAACGTGCTGAGGGAGAGATAGGAGGTCCCTGTTTAGTTGTAGCTGCATTCTGTAAACCAGGCACCAGGAAAGATAAATGGGTCAATGATCCAGTGGCTCCTCAGGTAAAAGCAATATTTCATTTCAGTTTAAACTTTTTATGCTCTTAAATTTGACCCGAATTACCTGACTCTTGATTGTAACTTCTCAAATGAAGGTTAGCAGTTGCAACCATTTTGTTTTCTGGCTATTTCCATTTTTCGTCCCTGGCTGTGGTGCTCTCTGGAATCCTACCTGATCTTGCCTCAGAAGTAGGGTGTTTGTTTTGTTGCTAAAGAAATGCAATTGTTTACACCGACATTTAAAGCTGAATTTGACTTAAAGTTGAATTTGATGGCAAGATTTCCCCAGTCCCTTCTGATAATACTCCTTCTACAGTTTACATCGAGCGAAATGAGGGCCTGATAAAGTCTTTGCTTTAAGGATTCTCAGCTTCTAGGTTCTAATCTCCACACGTTTTTCATGCAAAAAAAAAAAATGAAAGCAAATTCAATTTAACCGATTTCTCACACTGCCTTCAGTTTTCAAGATGCCTCACGAAGGGTCAGGAAAGATTACCCTTCCTTTTAAAAATAAAGGCGGCAAACATCGAGCTACTCAGCAAATGACGCGGTAGCAGTTCCTCTTCTGAAACTTAGAAACAGGAGCAGGGCAGAAAGAGGAGGCGCTGAGCACCTTCTGAAACGCGTATTCCCAGCACCTCTGCACAGCTTCGCTTAACTGAGGCCACGCAGTTAAGTCCCTGTGAATTGACGGCGAAGTAGAATTGAATTCCCCCTGACCGCAGGCAACGGAGGGAGGGGAAGGGGGCGGGAGCAGGCACCGGCTTAAAGACACCCAGAGAGGTCTGACCGCCACTCCTAGGCCAGGCCGGATTTAATGAAGTTAATAAACGCAGTAGGTGCTACCTGGTGCTGAAACGGCACCGCCCTCGGAAGGCGTCAGGGAGCTCCGTCCACTGCAGGTCGGCCCTCTGAGACTGCAGTGTAATCCCAGTTTGGGAGGACAGACGAGGGTGGGGGTAGTCTGCAGCTCCAAACCTTTATCGTTCCCATAAAGATTCTCGGCCCTTTGTGTTTCACCTTGGGAGTGTTTCTTCCCTTCACAGATAAGAAGAGAAATTCAATCAAGTCAATTAAGTTCCGGCTTTCCAAAGCTCCGGGTCTTAGATAAGGGTCGGTTTCCTCAACTCTCACACGGTTCCCTCTAATCTCACCTTTCCTGTGGGTGTCCCCACCTTACCCAGCCTTGGAGTTGGGCTTCGAGGAAACGCGGTGCCCAAGTGCCCAACTCCGGGCTCGGGCTCCCCGCCGATCTGGAGGGGCTGCATTTTCTAAATCTTGAACGCCCAATCCGAGCTACGGAAAAAGCAGTGGCATCCCTGCCCCGGGGGAGTTTTTTTTTTCCCTTTAGTAAACCCCAGTTTGATCCTACTTCTGAATAGTACTTTCATCATGCCCCACGCAGCCCGGGCCAGGCAGGGCGAGGGGGAGACTCTCGTCCGGCCTGGTGTCCCTGTTTCTGGTCTGGTGCGGTCCTGACCCTTACCCAGGCCGCCCTCCGCACCCAGTGCGCCTCCCAGGCCTCAGGCCTCGCGGCCGCGGGAAAGGCCGAGACACCTCTGCAGGGCTTGCGCGAGGCAGGGAGCAAGGACCCCCGTGTCACACCCTGGCCCGGAAGTCAGGCCTCCGGGTCAGCGCCGGCCTGGGCGCCTGTCGCTGGGACACGTCACGGCCTGGTGGAGTTTGGGGGGTCAGGCCATCTTGGGGGTTTGGGAGCGGGGGACTCTCCTGGAGGCGAGCCCCTTGCGCTGGGAGGAGCTACAGCGAGGCCGAAGGAGAGGACGGCGAGTTCGGTCCCGCGCGGGGAGCCGGGGCCAGGGCTGCGAAGGCGAGCGTGGCTTGGCCCGGACGTCTCCCGGGAGGATGAGCCGCAGACGGCTGGGGAGGGACCACTCCTTCCGACTGCGAAGGGCGAGGCCGTCGCCACCACCGCGGGGGTTCCAGCCACCGCAGCAACCCCCCTCCCTGCGTCCAGGGCAGGCCCGGCCCAGCTGGACCTGTTTTGCCCACCCCTCCAATCCTGGGGAAGCCAGGTGCATGGCTAGAGGGGCTGGGGCAGTTCGACACCGGAGCTGAGGCTTCCAGTGGGCAGCCCGACCGAGTAACTCCCAGGTAACCTCGGCGCATCCTTTCTCCCACTCCTCTAGGTCTCCTTCGTAACTGAGTGTCCGCTCCATTCCTTAAGACCCCCGAGCAACACTCGGCGACCCCGCAGGCCCAAGGCCGGCTCTGGAATGGGAAGCGGTGTCTTTGGCATCTGGGCAGCGTCACTTTGCCTTCGAGGCAGGGGCCACAGTTAAGTGCTTGCCTCCACTTAACCAGAAGTGGGCGCACCCGCGACCAGTCCGGGGCCGCATGCCACATGTTCGAACCCGCATCTCACACCCGGTGAGAAACTTGCTGTTGTCACCCGGACAAAGCTGTAACCCAAAACCAGGCATGCCAGTGTGAGGTGGTGGCTTACTGCATACAGAGACATGTTTTCAGGCATGCAAAAGAAGAGCAGAAACGAGTCTGATAAGGGACAGACTCATCCCAGCCAGAAGTAAGCGGACGTCAGAGAAAACCAGAATAGGAAGATGCAGGGTGGGATTCCGCCAAGACCTCTGCTCCTGCCTTCCTTCCAGACCTCCTTCCAAACCTTTAGGGAGGACAGTCTCTCTCCCTTCTGTAAGACTGAGGTGGATCCCCTGTCAGATATCTGCATGCCCAGATCTGCCATCATCGCCCAGATCACCTCCGTTTTTCTCTCCTAAACAGCCCGTGCCGTGTCAGAACAGGGTGCCCTGATAAAAACTGATTCTCTTAGTTGCCCCATTCCTGCCCTTGGGTTCATGTAATACAAAGGGAGCCCCTAGGAGTTTCCCTTGGGATGGGGCAAGCCAAACCCCAAACAAAACCCACCCATGTTTTTTGGTATTAGGCTCTGAAACTGCACAGATTATAGGATTTGTCTCGGACAGAATTAACATTACATGTGAAACCGTCGTGCTCTGGTGTATTGACACATGTTGTATAGGATTGCTTGGAGCATCTCTTCCAAACAGCCTAATAATAACATGTGACCTTAATAAATGGGTTAAAAAACTGATTAAAACGAAATCTAGGCACTATGTGTAAAGACTTTTTTTTTCCCCGATGGAAGCAGTTCGAAGGAAACGGAACCAGAGCAGGAACTGAAGGAAGCTTCAGTATGCAGAAGAGGTTGGAGAGAAGGAGGAAACAGGCAGGCATTTGAAAGGCCCTCAACTATGCAGCAGTCCTCAAGCCAAAGGAGGCCCCCCAAAGCTAGAGAGTCAGCCAGACTTCCTCTCTTGCAAGCAGTGTTTTATGTTTTAAAACCAACCTGCTGTCGACTGCAAACAAACAATAAGCAAATTCAAATAAAGGAGCCCTACCAAGTCCAACCCATTTGGCCAAAGATAACTGCAGGTGCCAGGGTGGCTGGGCAATCACTAGGGGGAGGGTGGCTTCAAATTTTGTTTTTCTCCTAGAGGGAAAGTCAAGCAGCATGAGGTCTATGATTCACTTTTATTCCTTAATCTCCCCTACCCTTTGCCTTTGATTCTTAGTGGAAAAAAACACGATATTTTGAAAAAAGAAAGAACAAAAAAAGAAAACAAACAAACAAAAAAGAATCCCACAGCAAATATAAGGGTAAGTGGGCAAAGTTGGAATTGACTTTTGTTTCAGCACCGCGAGCAAAAAAGCTGTTTAAGAATCAGATCGAATGTTCTCTGCCACCCTCTCTAGTGCCCCTGCCTTAGTTTTTCCTCTTTATGGATGAGAAGGGGGCTTTCAATTAGGATTTCTCAGTCTACTTGACATCACAAGGAGACGTTTCCGGCCCAGAGTATCTTTAAAAACAAGCTGCCAGTTTCTAGCAGCCATACAATTGCAATTGCTTTTGTGTCATCCCTGGACTGCCCATGAAGTGGTTCACCAGCAAATGCTGCCTTTGGGAGCCACAGGAACAGCCGCTGGCCCTCCAGCCCAGGTTCCAGGGGTAAAGCCAGGAGAGTGCTGGTGACAGGTCCGGGATGCCACGTGAAAGGTTGTCCCTTCATCCTCCCTGTTTCCTCGTCTTTGGGGATTCGCCAGAGGCCTTAGGTTACTTTGAAACCAGAAAATCACTCACTGCAGCCTTGAGTTGTTGAAATCTGTTCCTAGAACCAATAGTCACATTTTAGGATCATGGACCATTAATAAAAATCTCCTTAACATTCAAATGGCTCTAAAATGCGTTGATAGCGGATTACTGGGGCCTAATGGACGTCGTGTGTGATAACATGGTCTCTGACTAGCGAGGTTCTGGAGTGGGTGTCTGACCACAGCTACCTGATTATCAGCTTATAGCCAAACCACTTTTTAGCTGCGATGCTCTTAAGAAGAAGCGTTCTTCCCGGCAGAGCCTGAGACTTCTGCGTTCTTCATTGAAACGATTTAACAATGGCAGTGTTCTGGAAAGGAGAGAGAAAAACCTGCCGGTAGGGCGGAGGGTTACCGCCGGGGGTAAGGGGGCGGGTCACGGTACACACTGCCTCACTTCTCCCTGGTCTCAATGGAGCGAAGTCCGAGGGGTGGTGGTACGGACGGATAGAGGCCCTTGCCTGGAGTGCCCGCGTTGCCGCTAGGTCTGGGACTCTCCTGCTGGAGTCCTGCACCTGAAGGCCTCGGGCCGTCTCAGACGGCACCCCAGAAGTGGCCGCTCGGCTGACCCCGCGCACTGCTCGCCCTGTCTGAGGGGACCCGCCGGCTCTCCTGCGGGCGGCGGGAAAGCCTTCGGGCCCAGCTACTGCAGTAGACTGGGTCGAGGCCGAGCTGGCTGCCGACCGCCCTGGGGAGGGAGCGGGTTCCGGGGTTTCCCTGGAAAACGGCAGGGGCACCGTGTTCCCATTCTACACCTTCGCCTTTCACCTATCAAGCAAACCAAGTGAAAGTCTTTGAAAACAGCCTCTGACTGCAAAGTACACAGCTGCATCACCAGGGCAAGTGGGGGGAAGGGGCTCCCCATTCTGCTCACCACGCTGCGAGGCTTATATCTTCTGGGCAATCCAGACCGGTAGGTACCAGGGGCGGCAGGGAGTTACTGGAGAGGCTGAGGGCTGCTTTCTGGCCAACTACATGATACACCAGGATCACGATCCGCACCTTCGACAGGCCTCGAACCTATGGCACCCGAGGCCGGCTCGCGGCTGCACAGGCTCAGCAGCCAGGTTCCCTGATAAGCAGCAGACAGGCCGAGTCTGTCTTGCCCAGGGATCTCCCGGCCCCAAAACGTTGTGCCAGGGCTCTCGGAGTTGGAGGAGGCCTGGAGAGTACGGGGTCTTTAGCAGGGTCAGGATGTGCTGAGTGTGGGCATAGCGACGCCGATGCCGAGGGGTAAGGACTCCCGTCAAGCGCACGTGGGACCGCGGCCCCATGTTGGCAGACTCACCAGTCCAAGCTTCGCCTCCCCAGCTTCCTGTGGTGAGAAGATGCGGGCTTGGCCTCCGGGCTCTCCCGCTGGCGTAACTGGGCCTTCGGGGCTGGGCTGGGCTGGGCCTGAGCGCAGGAACCCACGGTGCCCCAGCCCCTGAGACAGCGCCGATGCTGTCCTTGGGCCCTCCCGGAAGTGCGCCCACACGGCACCCGCAGCCCAGGCTGCCAGCTGCCACAGCCGTTCCGATTGGAGGCCTCGCACGCTGTGCCCTGAGCAGTGCGATACCTCGTGGCAGGACCGGTTTTGACGCTGGTTTAAGGAATGGCCTAAGGTGAATTCAGAGTTAGAGCTTTTGAACCCTGCGGGTGTACATATAGAGTTGACTCTTCCCACTCCTTCAGGGAAGCAAGTTTGGTGACCTTTGAGTTACGCTTGGTTGGAGATTTCTAACTGCCTTGTTGCTATTGCTTAGTGCTGGGATCATATATATGCATGTGTGTATCATATATATACACACATCTTTCATATATATCATATATACACACATGCATATATATGACAGATATTGGGGCAACATTAAAATATATAAGTATATATATTTATATTTAAATTAAAATGATATTAGGTAAATTTGGAGTCACATTAATATTTTACATTTAAAATTGATGTAAGTCTAATTGAAATGCATCTTTGGGGACCAGCAGTTGGTGTAATGGCTGTCATTGGACTCCCATGTAGTCGATTGCAGTTCCAGTCCCGACCCAGTAGCTTAAACTCATACTGGGCACGTGTGCATGCATGTCCAAGATCCAGAGAGAATGGAGGAGAAGGGATTGTGGTGTGGCCATCCCCCACAGGGGATGATTTCTTGCTTTCTGGCTCTTTGTCTCTCTGGTGAGCACACGCACCCTGTAGCAAAAACCTTTTTAAAAAAATGCATCTTTGAACAGCTCTTCTCACTGATTAAATTGGTTTTCAATTTTTTTTTTATGAGAGAGAAAGAGAGATACAGACAGAAAGAGGTAGGTATTGGTCCCTGCTGGGGGGTCCTCATGCCCCAGCTTCCTATTAGCTAGGATTAGAGCATGTGGACCACCATGGGGGGCATGTTCAGGTTGTTCTGGGATCCAGACGGGGCCTTCCAGGTGACTCCAGGCATCTTTCAGTGGCACCCTCCTGTACCAACTATGCCTCTGCTGGGGCCTAATTGGTTCTATTTTAAGTTCTAGTCTGAGTTGACAATTTGAAGCTTTAGCAGGCTGAGAAGTTCTCAGACTATTTGTTAATTACCCTCTACCAGAAACATAGTCTTTATGTCCCTCTGACTTTGAAATGAGGGAGAAATGGGAAATGTGATACAAATATACATTCACCGTTTTCAAGGACAAGTACTTTTAGTTGATCCTGTTCATTTGAAATGGGTATGTTGCTTTGTGGCTTTTTTTCTTTTCTTTCATGTGCACTAATAAGGGCTTGGATACTTGAGTTGTTGCTTTCAAATATTCGTAACCTGTGGTTCAGCATCCTTTGGGGCTAGCTGTCCATGGGTAGGTTTTATAGGACAAGTGATCTCCTTCAGTTGTATGAAAATATTGTTTTGGTCTATGTAAGCAGTGTTATTTTCTTGGAAGATCCACAACTTTCATCAAATTCAAGAAAGGTTATGTTGTCACTCAGCATTAAGAGTCATTGGTCTTGGGAACCAGCAGTTAGCGTAATGGCTATGTCGCTGGACTCCCACGTAGTCGACCGCGGTTCGTGTCCTGGACCGGTGGCTTAAAACTCACGCTGGGCGCGTGTGCGTGCGTGCCCAAGATCCCGAGAGGAGAATGGAGGAGAAGGGATTGCGGCGTGACCATCCCCCCTGGGGGGTGATTTCTCGCTTTCTGTCTCTATGTCTCTGTCTGTCTGGCGAGCGCACGTGCCCTACAGTTAAAATCTCTCCAAAAAAAAAAAAAGAGTCATTGGTCTTGGGGCCCGCAGATGATGTGAAGAGCAGTGCTGGACTCCCACAAGGCCTACCATGGTTCTAGTCCTGGACCTGGACGTTTGCTTTCTCACTTTCTCTGTCTCTCTCTCTCATACTCTGTCCCTCTCTGGTCAAATTATAATAAATAAATACATAAAACTCAATAAAATAATTCTTTTTTTTTTTTGAGAGGTTTTTCATTATAGGGCGCGT